AATAGCTTCCTAAGTGGTCCCCCTTGCTCCTCAATAATCTAGTGTCAAAATAGAAGTCAATATGATTCTTTAAATATGTAAGTAGAATTTCATTATTTTTCTACTAACGATGGCTTCCCATCTCCCTCAGAAAAAGCCAAAGAAGTCCTTAAAATGGCCTGTAAGTGCATACCCAATTTGAATTCCTCTTACCGCTCTGACTTCATTTCCTACTTTTACCCTGCTGTAGTCGGACTGCTTTCTGTTCTTCGAATGTAGTAGGTATCTTTTTGCCTCAATGATTTCCACACTTGTTATTCTACCCAGAATGTTCCCTGTCCACCCAAGGCACATTTCTTTTTCCTTTGCCTCCTTTAGATCTTTGTACAGTTTGCCTTCTCAGTGGGGCTCCTCTGCCTCTGGGATAAACAAAAACCTCTCTCCCTACTCTCGGCTCACCCTATTCCCTTCTCACTGCTTCACTCTTTCCTGCCAACACTTATTCTGTCTTAGTATATACTTTACTTATTAATATTTTTAGTCTCTGCCATGATTCTTCCCTGCTTTGCTAAGTGTTTGGCACAGGGTTGGCACGCAATATTTTTGAGTGTATGAATGCTGTTTATAATGTACTATATTCTCTGCCTCTTTAACTATCACTAGCTCCATGGGAGTCTGGATATGCATCCCTGAGGAAGATCAGACTGACTAAATAGAAAAATTGTCCACTCACTCTGACTACCGTTATCCATCTCTTTAAGGGAGATGAAAGCATAGCAGCAATCCTGGAGGCTCAGGTTCCAGTCAAAGCTTTGAGACCAATTAGGCATGTGACATTGAGAAGATAATTTTTCCTCTCTAGCCCTTAATTTCCTCATCCGCCAAAAGGAGATCATTTCCTTAAAAGACCTCACAGTATTTTTGAGAATATAAAATGAAAGATGAAATGTTGAGTAGGGAAGGGTATGTCTTATTAATAAATTTCTCTACTACATACAAAGATATATTTACCTGGCATTTTATATTTGTTAAAGGTAATAAACCTAAAAGTAAACCCCAGGGTTCTTTTAGGAATCTTGCAAAATGTACTTCTGTTGTGCTGTGCCCTTATACTTACCACTAATGTGACAGCAAAGACTCTGATGTCAGCCTATTCTTTCTCCTGAGAAAAGTCACTCTTACATGTCATTTTTTTTTTTCAGTATCCTCATCCAAACCAATGAATAGTCAGTGCCTGCTGGGGCCTGGCTCCAATGGCAGTTTTCTTTCCTATTCTCTTGTGTGTACATGTGGTTGGTGAGCCTTTTCTCAGCCCATCTGTAACATAGAACCTTGATTTTCTTGTCTGTAAATTGGGGTGCATAACTGGCTCGCATTTATTTTAATGGATTCATGGACCCATCAATAATTTAAATAAAGCAGTAGTACAATGCCTGGCACATCTAGAGGCCGCTATAAATGCTTTATAGAAATAGAGTATGTGTTCAGCTTCCACTGCCAGAGCTGCTTGCTAAAACAGATCTTTCTAGCCGGGCGTGGTGGCTCATGCCTGTAATCCCAGCACTTTGGGAGACTAGATCACGAGGTCAAGAAATCGAGACCATCCTGGCCAATATGGTGAAACCCCAACACTTTGGGAGGCCGAGGTGGGTGGATCACTTGAGGTCAGGAGTTTGAGACCAGCCTGGCCAACATGGTGAAACCCCATCTCTACTAAAAATACAACAATTAGCTGGGCCTGGTGGCGCATGCCTGTAGTCCCAGCTACTCAGGAGACTGAGGCAAGAGAATTGCTTGAACCTAGGACACAGAGGTTGCAGTGAGCTGAGATCGCACCACTGCACTCCATCCTAGGCAACAGACGAAGACTGAGTCTCGGGAAAAAACCAAACAAACAAACTCAAAACAGTTCATCATGTTACTATGCCTAGTCAAGGACCTCAAACAATGTAAAGTATGAATTTCTATACTTGGTTTCAAATCTCCCACATTCTATTAATATTATTAATTTTTGAGACGGAGTCTCGCTGTCGCCCAGGTTGAAGTGCAGTGGCAAGATTTTGGTTCGCTGCAATGTCCACCTCCTGAGTTCAAGCAATTCTCCTGCCTTAGCCTCTTGAGTAGCTGGGTTTACAGGTGTGTGTCACCACACCCGGCTAATTTTTGTATTTTTAGTAGAGACGGGGTTTCACCATGTTGGCCAGGCTGGTCTCAAACTCCTGACCTCAAGTGATCCACCAGCCTCGGCCTCCCAAAATGTTGGGATCATAGGCATGAGCCACTGTGTCTGGCTCCACAATCTATTAAAATCAGGGCTTTTCTTTTTTTTGTTTAAGACTAGTCAAGTGCAGTGGTGGGAAGTGGAGCACAAGTCGAATTAGGAGTTTGGTCTGTAACTGACAGTGAACAATCACGATAACTTACTATCTCTGTATCAGCCTAAAAGGATCTTGAAGAGTGATTTGTACATTCATGTTCAAAGCAGTGTTATTCACAATAGCCAAAAGGTGGAAATAACACAGACGGTATATACATACAATGAAATATTATTTAGTGTTAAAGGGGAAGGAAATTCTGACACATGCTACAACATGGATAAACCACAAGGAGATTATGCTATGTGAAATATGCCAATCACGAAAAGACAAATACTGCGTGATACCACTTACATGAGATACCTAAAGCGGTCAAATTCATACAGACAGAACTAGAATGGTGGTTACCAAGGCTGGCTGGAAAATGAGGAAGGAGAAATTGTTTAATGGGTGCGGGCTTTGTTTTGCAAGATGAAAAGAATTCTGGGGACTGGCCGCACAAGGTAAATGTACTCAATACTAACGAATTATTCACTCAAAAATGGTTAGGATGATAAAGTTTGTTGTGTCGATAAAAAAATTTAAAAATCTATTTCATCTTTCTCATGAAATCTTACTTTTTATTCTTCTCTTGTTTCTATTTTTCCCATTTCAGTTAGGCTGATCTCTTCATTGTACTTCCAGTATGCCTCTGGAGCCTTTGCACCACGGTGTTTCTTCTCTGGAATGGTGTTTCATTATCACCCATCCATTTTCAAAAGGTTGCATGTGCTTTCGTCCCAAAGACATTACTTTATAGATCCAACCAGGAGTCGCATCCTCCATGTCATCCCCTACTCTTTGAAACCACAGACCTCTCCCTTTTCTACACTACACAGAAGGGCCTACACATGGCTTTCATGCTTTAGCTTAGCCTCTCCGACCATACCTCTTAAGACCCTGAGGATCAGGGGGCGTTCTCTCACAATTCTCCTGCACTTCTCTCCCATCCCAACACATACACATGATACTAGCAAGGAGCTCCGCACACAAGCTCCCCCAGTAAAAACGACGCACTAGGCAGTGCATCTCAACACATCAAATTACCGGCGCGCATAGGAGCCTGATGCAGCAAAACTGTGGGTCCTTCGGGATCCTTGAAAGCAACACTATAATTTGCAGTTTTCTACCCTCCAAAACACTTTTCGGGCCGGATGTGGTGGCTCACTCCTGCAGTCCCAGCACTTTCGAAGACCCAAGCAGGCGGATCACTTGAGGTCAGGAGTTTGAGACAAGGCTGGGAAACATGGTGAAACCCATCTCTATAAAAAAATACAAAAAGTACTTGGGAGTAGTGGTGCGCGCCTGTAATTCCAGCTACTCGGGAGGCTAAGTCAGGAGGATCACGTGAGCCTGGGAGGTCGAGGCTGCAGTGAGCCGTGATCGCGCCCAATGCACTCCATCCAGCCTGGGCGACGGCGGTGAGATCCTGTCTCAAAAAAATAAAAGCCACCACTTTCCTACTTATTATCCCAGGGAAACGCACGCGACGGAGGAGCGAAGGAGCGTTTATTTGTGGAGGCGCTCAAGTAAGAAACCCTGCTCGCAGGCCGACTCAAGGCTCTCCGAAGCCTTCTCAGGGCTGTCTCCCCTCCCCAAACGGTAAAGAACCGTTACAAAGTTTACTTCCGGCACAAGCGTCCGCGCCTGCTCGGAAAAGGGAGAGTGGACGCACAGCTCTGTTACGGGAAGTCGCAGGGCACAATTTCCTTCATTGCAGTCGCCTTGTAGGCGGCCGCACCAACCCAGAAGTGAAAGACCCTTTCCTTCGAGTATCAGACCCCCGACCAAAGGAAGTTCCACTTGGACGACTTTTACCCAGGGTTTCCCGACTTCTCTTTAGCTCTTCCTATCACACTCCCTGCTTGCTGGTGCATTGTTGCTGTGGCCACTTAGTTCCGACTTTCCTTGTGTAACTCGAGTTTTGTCGCAACTTTCCAAGGGGCCTAACTACACTCGGGGCACCCTTTCCTGAAAAAAAACAAAAACAAAACAAAACAAAAAAACCAAAACCTTTACCCTACGGGTACCCATCAGGGTCAACCTACGTTCTCCGTGAGGGGCAAAGCTCCCGGGGACTTTACGCCCGCGAAGCGTAACACGGCCAGGCCGGCGCGTGCGCGGGGCGTTACCATAGAGAGGCAACCGCCTCTCTGGTATCGGTTTACACTCTCTATGGTGCAGCCGGGTCGGTGGCGGTAAGAAGAAAAAGGGGGACCGCACTGCGCAGGCGCCCTCGGCGTCTCTCTCGCTCTCCCGTTTTTTTTTTTTTTTTTTTTCTTTTTTTTTTTTTTTTAATCCCCGCACCAAGCGCTTAACCTCATTGGGGTGGAGGAGAAGGCGGCGGCTCTCTGGTCCGCAGCGGCAACAGTAATGAAAAACAGGGCTGTAAGTACCTGGTCATGGGGTGGAGGGTCAGACCCGAGCCCTCCCGCGGCCCTGGCCCCTCCCGCGCAGTGGCGGGCGCCGGGTCTGGGTGGGGGCGATGTCCAGCGCTGTCATCGGCTCTTGGGTGCACTTTGGGGGGATGGGGCGGCTCTGAGGTGGGAGCCTGGCGAGGAGCGGGATGCGAGGGTTGTTTATCCAACCAGTAGGTCGCTGAACCCAGGCTGCTTTGCAGAGGGAGGGGATCGGCCGTGGGGTCAGTCGGCTTTGTGTGCCCCTCTCTGTTTCCCTTTTCCAGACCCCACCCGGGCCCCGTTCCTAACCCGAGTCTCCCCGGCCGGGTGGGAGAAGCCAGCGAGCCCAGGGCGCGTTTGAAAGGAAGGGAGGGGGCGAGGGAGAGAAACCCACAACAACTAGTCATCGGCGAGTGATGGGTGTGGAGAAAGATCCAGAGAGAAGGGGTGCCGGGAGGCGGGCGGCCCGGGCTCCCAACCGGGCCAGACAAAAGCTGCGCGAGCGGCGCGGAGCAGAGCGGCCGGCTTGATGGGATGCACAAGGTCCCCTTGGTCCCCGGGGCCTTCGAAGAGCTTCTTTCTGAAGCTGGGAAAGCGAACAAGTGCTCAGTTAAGCCTGTGCAGACTTCTCAACTTGCCTTTGTTGTTCTTTGGTATTGGCAGAGACGCTCTGACGAAGATGAGTGTGTGATCTTGCACGTTAGCTTGGCTAGATACAATGGAGCTAGTCGAATTTTGCTTTCCATTTTCCGAGCTGCTGGGATGAGTATGGGGCTTTCCAGAGTTTAAATTATTACATAATATTTTTAAAATAGTTGTTTCTAAAATTAAAAAAAAATTAATGTGGAGTCTGAAAGCACGCTGTGATGAGTTTGCAGCTGAGTTTGCAGCTGGGTGAGTTTCTGTGTAGTGGGGTGCTTTCATTAAATACTGACCATTCGTAGAAACTGTGAGCTCTTTAAACATGATACTTTAATTTGTAGATGTGGCAATGAGAGCTTCAGATTCTCTAGTCCTTTGGGAGACAGTGATGCAGAAGAATCAGAAGCGAGAAATAGTTTCATGCCGCCATATACCTTGGACCCTATTTGGGTCCCACAGTCCGTTTTCAATTCTGGCATTAGAAATTGTTTTTATTGCTATGATCATTTACGACGTTAACTGATCTCTCGATATGAGAGGTCCTGGACATTGCCTCTGTTTGCTCATCAAGGGAGTGGGAGAATAGCAACGTTGATGTAGAGACCATATAGATAAAAAGTAGCACAGTGCCTCAGAGTACTGAATATTATTTATTTTTTACCTTTGTTAAGATTTAAATTTCGATGATTTGGTTCTCTTGTTAAATTGTGTAATACACCTTTTTAGCAGTTGTTACTCAAATCTCAGTTTCTATAATTCATTGTTTATTATGGGCTAGATGGTATTCATTGTTTATTATGGGCTAGATTGTAACACCATTTTAGACTTCTAAAGTTTTAGTTTTTATGAAGGAGTTTTCAGCCATAGCGTTTAATTCTCCCAAGTAAGGTTAACCAAAGTCAGAACTCCTTAGAAAAGACTTTGTTGGTGGTGGAGGTATCAAATATTGTATCTCTGTGTTATAACTGAATTGGCAAATACAGAAAAGGCTTTTGCTAAGTTTGCACCATAAAGTTGTGTTAGAACGGAAAACCCAGATCTAGTATGTCAGGCTTTTGAATTAACCTATCGATTAAACTTTATGTAAAAGAGGTAGGCTCTTTTTTTCTTTTTTTTAATTGATAGCAAGTGAAACTCTCAAGCCTGGTGTATTATGCTTCAGTAACTAGTGGGATAGATCTCTTTAAGTGTAGTTCAGATGATGGGAACTTGCTTTTTATAGAGCAAGATTTCAGACGCTTAAAATAGTTTGACAGGGATGTTGAGAAATGATTGGCCAGAAGAACATTAAGTTTGCCATTTAAGTGTGTTATATTTTGTTTACTGGTTTTATTTATTATTTATTTTTATTTTTGAAACAGAGTTTCGCTCTTATCGCTCAGGCTGAAGTGCAATGGTGCAATCTCAGCTCACTGCAACCTCCACCTCCCGGGTTCAAGCGATTCTCCTCCCTCAGCCTCCCGAGTAGCTGGGATTACAGGCACCCACAACCATGCCCAGCTAATTTTTGTGTTTTTAGTAGAGACAGGTTTCACCATGTTGGCCAGGCTGGTCTTGAACTCCTGACCTCCGGTGATCTGCCTGCCTTGGCCTCCCAAAGTGCTGGGATTACAGGCGTGAGCAATCATGCTGGGCCCATGTTTACTGGTTTTAGATTGAGATTTTTTGCTTCAGTCTTGTTTATTTTCTTAAGTAGCTTAGTGTCATGATTTATAAGTTGAGTGAGATGGCTTCTTGGGCCTGAGACTTAAATTTACTGTTTGAGACCCGTCTATTCTTAATAATCTTCTACTTAATAATTTTTAGATTATAATTTTTTTTATTTTGTAGTGCTATTGGTAAATAGAAACATTTAAGTGATTACAAATATTAGGTTCAACTGAGTTACTGAAAGTGTCAGTTTTGGTAGCTACATCTAGTTGTCAGATAGTGGAAACAGTAGACAGAAGTAAAACTTAAATGTTTAAAAACAGAACATTTAAAAGATTTCCTAGAAAACAAGAAAAGAGGCTGGGTGCAGTGGCTTACATCTGTAATGCTAGCATTTTGGGAGGCCAAGGCAGGCGGGTTGCATGGAGTTTGAGACCAACCTGGGCAACATGGTGAAACCCTGTCTGTCTGCAAAAAATACAAAAATTAGCTGGGGATGGTGGTGTGCACCTGTAGTCCCAGCTACTCGGAGGGAGGGGGGGATGAGGTGGGAGGATCGCCTGAGTCTGGGAGGCTGAGGCTGCAGTGAGCGGAAATCATACCACTGCACTATAACCTGGATGACAGAGTGAGACCCTGTCTAAAAACAAAAACAAAACAAGGGAAGGATCTGTTGGTCTTAAAAACAAAAACTAAGCGAAGTAGAAATCATTGATGATATAGTTTTTGGTTTGTAAGATGTAATTTTAGAAAATGAACTAACTGGTTTGGCCATTGCCAGCGGGGCATCATCGACAAAGTATGGGTATATGTGTTTGACTAAATGACGTCTAAAATGCCGGCATTTACTGCTTGTTTCTCGCTTGTTCTTCACCTCCCCAGGGCTTTTCTGCCCCCTTTATGCCCAGACCATTACTGCCACACAGTGATTTTCCTCCCCACATTCTTATGACAGCCCTCCTCCCACCTCCCCTCATGGATCCTAAAGATCTAACTCAGGTGTGCTCAAATGGTGACTTTTCTTCCATAATACCTTTGTTAATTTCTGTCTTGTTTCCTGCCTGGAAGTTTCCTCACTCCTTGCTGCTTCCTGTTGTATATATCACCTTCGTGCTTGCTTAGATTCACTCTTGTGCATTTACTCTTCTCTAGATCTTTGAGGGCACAGGGAGTTTGTAGAACACAATGTGGTGTCTTCTGTTGCTTACTAAGTGACTAAGTGACTTGTATAACTAATGGAAACTGTAGAATGTATGAAAGAGTAAACAAATGTATCGTAATGTAGACTAATAAAATTTGAGCTTTGGAGGAGTTGTTAGAGGCCCAGTAGTCCAACATCTCTCCTTTTGTCTGCTACATTCTGATCATCAGTGTCAAACTGCAGGCATCTGTCCCTGGACAGGTCTTGGTTGCCAGAAGTGTTTTTAGACTACTCCAGTCTGCTCCCTCCCTTTCACCTATTGACCTTAGTTATACTTCCTGAAGCAACCTGAATTAAGTCTGTTTCTTCTTCACGTAATAGCCCTTCATATTTCCCATGACAGATATCACACTTCTAGACTTATTGATTATTTATTAAACTCTCTCTTGAATTGAGCACCAGGTACCAAGAGAGTACAGTTGAAGAGACATCCATGGCCCCTGCACTTCAGGGGCTTGCAGTCTAGTTACGGAGACAACTATAACATGAATCGATGGCTGGTTATAATACAAGTATGAAACAGCCCTAAATCGTTCTTTCCTGGTTTGTTATGGCTCACCATGCTTTCTTTAGGCAACTCTGTTTTTTGTTTTGTTTTGTTTTTTTTGAGACGGTTTTGCTCTGTTGCTCAAGCTGGAGTGCAGTGGCATAGTCACGGCTCACTGCAGCCTTGACCTTCTGGACATAATCAATCTGCCTGCTTCAGCTTCTTGAGTAGCTGGGATTACAGGCATGCACCACCACACCTGGCTAATTTTCTAAATTTTGTTTTAGAAATGTTTTGTAGAGATAGGGTCTCACCGTGTTGCCCATGCTGGTCTGGAACTCCTGGGCTCAAGTGATCCTCCTGCCTTGGCCTACCAAAGTGCTAGGAAGCCCGGGCCCAACTGTTTTTGTTTTCCCCCTGAGATGGAGTCTTGCTCTGTCGCCCAGGCTGGAGTGCTATGGTGCGATCTCGGCTCACGGCAGCCTCCATCTCCCAGGTTCAAGCAGTTCTGCCTCAGCCTCCTGAGTAGCTTGGGACTACAGGCATGTGCCACCATGCCTGGCTAATTTTTGTTGTATTTCTAGTAGAGATAGGGTTTTACCATGTTGAGCCAGGCTGATCTCAAACTCCTGACCTCAGGTGATCTCTGCCCGCCTCAGCCTCCCAAAGTGCTGGGATTACAGGCGTGACCCACCACCCCCGGCCGTTGTTGTTGTTGTTTTAATGTCCTTTAAATGCAGTGTCTGAAACAAAACAGAAAATATGACCTGACCAGAATATACAGCTGTTTTCTTCAGTTAGGAAACTGAATCAATGATTTTCAAATTTCCTTGTGCATTCTGGCTCTGCCACTTACAAGTGCTGTGATTTTAGGCCAGCTAAATAATCTCAGTAATTTTAGTGTCTTCATCTGTAAACCAAGGGTGAGGGGAGGGCGGTGTTAATTGTAGCACCTACCTATGGGTTGTTGTCAGGATTAAATGAGATAATACATGTAAAGTGTTGAGGGCAGTGACTGGTATGTGTTAAGTGGGTAATACATGGTAGGAGTTAATAACCATGTTGTAATAGTTGCAGTAATCAAGTCACTGGAATCTCTTTGGGACCTTGTTAAAATACAAGCAGCCTGGCCTCATTATCTTCTACCCAGAGAATTTGTATGGTACCTGGGTGATCACAGTTTTAACAGTCCCCAGATGATTCTTAGATGACCCAGAGGTGGAGAACTCTGCACTTTACATGCATGATATCATTAGCTTTTACAAATTAAAATTTTAAAATTCCCCAAGTAATAGATGAATAGATCTTCCTGAAAGATTCAAACAATGCAGATACAGGTAAAGGCATGGCTCCCAATTTCAGAGTCCTGGAGAAACACCCACTTAACCAGTTTGGAATGTATCCTTCTACACATTGTTACCCTTTTTTTGTAAGTTTATAAATAAATGTCTTCACAGTAATAATGGCCAGAGTTAAAAGATAAAAATGATTTTTAATGCACTTTTACAGTCATAATCTTTGTTCCCTTCCAAGTCTTATGAGATGGGTAGGGGAAATAGCATCACGATCCTATCAATTTGCAGATGAGAAATCAAGGCCTGCAAGTGAAATTCGCCCTGATTGATCTAG